CGTTCGTGTGGTTCTCCAGGAAAGCCAAGAGGAACCGAGCCTGCTTTCGGGGTGGCGGAAAAACCACGTGGGTCATGGCCATGGCTTTACAGGAAGCCTTTGGGGTGATCCTTACCACCCGCAAAAATCGAGTGCTTCACACTTTGCCGAGGCATCTCAAGGCCCAATAGGGTAGCCAGGTTGCAAGTTTTCCAAGCATGTTGTGATATGTTCATGGTGTAGCATGTTTAGCTTAGATTTGGGGCCCGTAGCAGGAGAAAAATAGAGTTTCAATAATTTAGAAAAAGGTACCGATACTTGCAACAAGTGACAACCAGTGATCCCTGTTCGCCCGCCAATGCGGAGCTGAACGCCCACTCCGAATGGGTCATCGTCATGCAGACTCGCCGAGAATTTGAAGACCATGGCAGCCAGGACCCGCAAATCCCAAGAGCTCAATTGCTAGGAAAATGAACCAGGCTTCCTGAAAGCATCCAAAGGCTTTGCCATTTCAAAGGAGCAGCCCCCAGCGCTTCTCACCTGCCAGTCCGCGTCCAGCTGCCGCACTCGGCGCCTCGCTGGCTTTGCTTTGGCCATGTGGTGTGCGATGCTACGTCGTGCCCTTGTTTTATGTGTGCTGTGGTTGCGTCACAAAGCGCTGTGGCGTGGCTTGCGTTGCTGCTTCTGTGGTTGTTGTTTCTGTTGCTGTTGCCGCTGTGACCCCTTGCCGCCCATAGTGATGCTGCTGTTGGGGGGTGGCCTTTGTGCTGTTGTCGTGTTGCTCATGCTGTTGGCGTCGCTCAGCGCTCACCCCACACTACACGGATTCTGGGGCCTGAGTCCCGCCCAGTCCACGTGCGAGCTCCGCACCTGGCTCCGGCTGGCAGTTTGGCTTCAAGCTTGGGTCAACGGGGTTGGCTGGGGCAGCATGCGCACCTTTCACCCAAGACCCAACCGGCAAACATCTGACCAAAGAAAACGGGACAAATCGGGAGCAGAAAGGGCTCCAAATTGCCATGACTGGAGAGCCCTTGAAAGACACATCAGCCAAAGGACGTGGCTTGCACTTGCAAGAACTTTACGTCAGTCATGGGCACCACTGAGAATGACAAGACCTCTTTTCAATATAGTGACCCCCCCCTTACATCCCCGAACGAGGGAAGTCCCCCATGGTCACATAGATCATGCTGTTGGTCCGCTAAAAGGAAGAGAATTCACCCCGTGAGCATGCCCAACTCTTGAATGTGATTGTTAAAAGTTAAAGGGGGCCCGATCTTCAAAACATGCTCGTGATTGAAAGAGAAAACTGAAATCTAGGCCGTGGAGCCTGGTTTTGACAAAAAGCATGGCCCGATGCGGTGCCTTCCATTGTCCAAAAGTAGGTTTAGCCTGATGGCGTCTATGTCAAACCCAAGTTGAGATTTGAGACTCCCCCTTCTTTTGAATCTGACCCCCGATTATCATACGCCAAGCACAAGCAGCAGAGCGTGTGGATATTCAACTGGCAACCTTGCTTTACATTGGGCCACCCTCACCCACCCCCCCCCCCAGAGAAAAAAAAGAAGAACCAGTGCCGCTCACCAAAACAGGGGACCTTTCCTTCGACACGCGCAGCCGCAGCGCAGCCGGCGCAGCCATGACCTCTCCCCTCAACGCCTCCACGCAGTCAACATCTAGCAGCTCCCCCGGGAAGCGCTCCAAGACCTGGGGCCTCGCTAGGTGTGGAACTGACCCGACGCGGAATGACCCTATAGCAGAGCTCGATATAAGGCTTCCCTGCAGCCATCGACCCCATGAATTTCTGTGGGGAGTTTGGCGCGTGTGACAAGAAGGCGGGCAACCCGCGCATTCCATATCAGACTGATTCATCAGATTCTCTGGGGATGTAGGGGATCGGCCATTGCATATGACATGGCGCCCATTGCACAGCCGTTGCCACTGTCATGTGACTATTCATGGTGATTTCGGTCGAGGCAATCTCGGCACAAGCTGAACCCTAACCGTGGCTAAAACGGTCCAAGGCAACACGGATTGACTGACGAACGTCCCACTGATGAGGGGACCTCGCAAAAAAAGGGCCTTCTTCCCAACAACTTCCATCATTGTTGGGGACAAATGGGCCAATCTGCCACTTGCCCCGGCCCCCCCCCCACGGCTGGACTACATGGAAAGCCAAAGTCCATGCTGAGAGCCAGGCAAGCTCGCCACAGGGCTCAACCAGAGGAGATGGCCTCGGCATCCCGGCTCAGGCGGGAGAAGGCTGCAATGCTGTAAAGCCCAAAAGGATTCAGAAGAGCTGTGGCCCACGTCGACTTTGTGTTGTCTACTGGGCTGGGGGGACACATGGTTTCAAAAGCTAAAGGCTAAACTCAAACAAAACAACAAACAAGAAAGGGGGGTTGTTGGACTCACGCCAATGGTCTGCTTCAAAACCTGCCCTCTCTGCTTTTCAGACACTGTCCGGGGCCCCCACTCACCCAGCGGAACCTGCATCCCTCGAGGCCTAGCATCCATGAAGTCGGACATGGCGGCACTTTGGCCGCCAGAGATCGCACCAGACCAGCCCTATCAGAACTCGTGCATGCGCAGGCGCGAAGTGCGTATAGCGCGTTTTTGCGCAGGGGGGGGGCAAACTCAAGGCTTGCTCTTAGCAGTGTTCTGCGGTGTCATGCATGCTATCGCAGTGTGGCAATCTTGCTAAATTGCTGCGGCAAGCTGCACGCAAATTCTTGAAAAGACTCACGCAATCTCACGCATTTCAGTCTCAGCATGTCTCAGCCTCTTCTGCGTTGCACTGACATTCTCCGGGCTGGCCACCCCGCCCCCGTGCCATTTTCCGCGTACTGCACATCACGGGGCCCCGTGCCAAAAGTACGGGGAAGGCAGTGAGACACGGGGAACGGGTCAGCTTAGGCCTGGCCGCGCACCGCCGCTTCCATGCAAGGGAGTTCTGTGTCCCGCGGGTCCCGCAAGGACACGGGGCCAACAAATCAGCTTGATGCGAGGGCTCCGGCACGTTCAGAGAGCACCGTTCAAAATGTCAAATGCCTTTCTGGGAGGGCAGTTTGATGTTCATCCCGCTTAGTTCTCTCACGACGGTCACGCATGTGTTTTGCTTGGGGCTTAAATTGTCCTTCCCAAAAGGTATCCTCTTTTAGGCACCTCTGGTGGGTTTCAGGTAACGTGGCAGCCTGTGGCTTGACCAACGCGGAGCCTTGCCAAGAGCTCGGAGCGCTTCACCTGGTCGGTAAAGGTGGGCTGAGGGGTTGGTTTCCGTGCGGAGTTTCTTTCAGTTTCACAGGTTGATGTGCGGTTTCCCTTTCGTTTCTTTGGTGAACAGCCCACTGGTCGCTTTGGACATGTAGCCTGGGTTCCCCAAGTGCCCTGGCTGCAAACCAGGGCTTAAAATCCGTACCATCTTCAATTAAATCTGCTGGTTTGCTTTTTGACGGGGATTCAACAATCAATTCACTGATACCTCTTACAACACATGCCCACCAGAAATTGGGGGAAAGCCTCCCTCGTGAGCGAATACTACTGACGATCAACTACCATCATAGTGTCAAGTCTTTTCCTCTTCCACTGTTGACAGGCGGTCCTCGGGGTTGCAAATCCGCAGTCCATGGTGCTGGTGGGGTATGCAACATGGATACGCACCAAGGAGTTGAGCCAACAAACCTCAGCACAGCGCAGTCCAAGCCATACTGGTTCCCAGATCCCTGATCCTGGGACCAGCCAGTGCTTGCCTTTCTTGACGCCATCTCTTATGGTTTTTTAGGGGATTTGGTTCATCCCCAACACGAAACTACGGACCTCCACCTACAGCTTTCCGAGGCGCGCGCGCTGGCGGCCTTGCAGCCAGTGCCCGCCCAGCCCAGAGGCCGCCTGTCGAAAGCCCCCGAATGGACGTCGAAGAAACTGAGTGGTTCGTTGGTCTCTTGGTAGAAGTGAAGCTTTACATGGGATATGTCATATCAGTCAAAACTGGTTCAAAACTCGGTCCACGAAAGCAACATCCTGTAAAGGGGCCAAAAGGAGGCAACCGATGTTGGGTTTGTGTCTTGGGACCAGGATGCATATTATGCCTGAAAGCACGTGCTGTACTTGGAGGTCAAGGGCTTGGGTTGGTGGTTTCAAGGTAAGGGTTGTGTTTCCTCTCCCAGCCTCAAAGCCAGCAATCAAACCATCAATCCGGGGAAAAGTGAGAGACTCCTCGACCGAGAAGTCAGGTGCCTTTAGCCTATCGTTTGCAGCGGGGCGGCCAGCACTTGATCGCCAAAACTGGAGGGGTCGAAACGGAGGCTAGACTTCCTCAGGCTCAGTCGTGGTTGTGGAAAATCGCCCGGTATGCCACCCCGGTGACTACATACTGTATCACTTAGGAAAGGAGCCCCATGGCCACTTGCAAAAGAGTGGCGTGCCCTGACGTATTCTGTCCAGTTGGCGTTCTACGAGCCGTCCCTGGGCACCATGCCTGCTGGCAGTTCGGCCGGCGAGAAGCCACAGGTTCGGCCCGCTCTCCCAAATACCTGACGAGCGCTCAAATCCAAGAGGTCTGTGGGGTGTCCTACAAGTAAACCAACCGCACACCGTCACAAACCATCGTGAATTGCGTGGTCTTCCCCAGATATTGCAAATGCACCAGCCACAAAGCCAGGATGAAATCTGGGGGTTCCTTGTTCTCTACTTGGCTTTGTTCAGGGGATTCACCGTGCCCCCAAGCCCCTACCCCAAGGGAAGCACGCAGGGTGGAAACACTCTCATATCATATCAAAATTGCGTCAAGCTGGAGCACCTTAAACTGCCATTGCCCCCGGAAAAACGCAGGGCGGGGCCAATCACCCGCTACACCTAAGGACTACACTACCAATCATTGACCCGCAAGCAGGCACAAAGCCGGTGTGAGGGCAGTGAATGCGTCGCACGTGTTCCACTCCTCTTCGAGGATGGTGGTCTCCCCAGTGTCAAGGTTGTGCAAAAGGAAGGGCAGGACAGTGGCCTGCAACGGCACCCACAAAAGC